AGCTAAAACCATTTCCTGGAGCAAAGACAATCTATTCAACAAATGGTGCAGGGAAAACTGGATTTCCATATGCAAAAGAATGAAACAAGACCCCTACCTAGGGCTGGCACTGTGACATAGCAGGTAAAGCTGCCACCTGTAGTGCTAGCATTCCATATGGGCGCTGGTTCTAATCCCAGATGCTCCACTTCCCATCCAGCTCTCTGTTATGGCCTGAGAAAAAAGTAGAAGATGGCCCAAGTCCCTAGGCCCCTGCACCCACAAGGAAAGACCCAGAGGAAGCTCCTGGCTTCTGGCTTTGGATCGGTACAACTTTGGCCACTGTAGCCAACTGGGGAGTGAACCAGTGAATGGAAGACCTCTCTCTGCTTCTCTCTGTGTAACTCTGCCTTTCAAATTAATAAATAAATTTTTTTCTACAAAAGACCCCTACTTTACACCTTACACAAAACTCAACATGCATTAAAGATCTAAATCTACAACCGGACACCATCAAATTATTAGAGAACATCGTAGAAACTTTGCAAGATATTGGCACAGGCAAAGACTTCTTGGAAAAGACTCCAGAGGCACAGGTAGTGAAAGCCAAAATTAACAACTGGGATTACATCAAATTGAGAAGTTTCTGTACTGCAAAACAAACAGTCAGGAAAGTGAAGAGGCAACCGACAGAATTGGAGAAATTATTTGCAAATTATGCAACTGACGAAGGATTAATAACCAGAATCTACAAAGAGATCAAGAAACTCCACCACAACAAACCAAATAACCCACTTTTTTTGTTGTTTTTTGTTTTTTGTTTTTTGACAGGCAGAGTGGACAGTGAGAGAGAGAGAGAGAAAGGTCTTCCTTTTGCCATTGGTTCACCCTCCAATGGCCGCCGCCACCGGCGCGCTGCGGCCGGCGCACCGCGCTGATCCGATGGCAGGAGCCAGGAGCCAGGTGCTTTTCCTGGTCTCCCATGGGGTGCAGGGCCCAAGCACTTGGGCCATCCTCCACTGCACTCCCTGGCCACAGCAGAGAGCTGGCCTGGAAGAGGGGCAACCGGGACAGAATCCGGCACCCCGACCGGGACTAGAACCCGGTGTTTGGGCGCCGCAAGGCGGAGGATTAGCCTAGTGAGCCACGGCGCCAGCTAAACAACCCACTTAAGAGATGGGCCAAGGACTTAAACAGACATTTTTCAAAAGAGGAAATCCAAATGGCCAACAAACACATGAAAAGATGTTCAGGATCACTAGTCGTCAGGGAAATGCAAATCAAAACCACAATGAGGTTTCACCTAACCCCAGTTAGAATGGCTTTCATAAAGAAATCAACAAACAACAAATGCTGGTGAAGATGTGGGGACAAAGGCACACTAATCCACTCTTGGTGGGAATGCAAACTGGTAAAGCCACTATGGAAGACAGCTTGGAGATACCTCAGAAATCTGAATATAGCCCTACCATATGACCCAGCCATCCCACTTCTCAGAATTTACCCAAGGAAAATTAAATTGGCATATAAAAGAGCTATCTCTACCTCCATGTTTATTGCAGCTCAATTCACAATAGCTAAGACCTGGAATCAACCTAAATGCCCATCAACGGAATACTGGATAAAGAAATTATGGGATATGTACTCTATAGAATACTACACGTGTTTAAAAAAAAATGAAATCAGGTCATTTGCAATAAAATGGAGGAATCTGGAACACATCATGCTGAGTGAAATAAGCCAGTCCCAAAGCAACAAATATCATATGTTCTCCCTGATCTGTGACAACTAACTGAGCACCTAAAAGGAAACCTATAGAAGTGAAACTGATACTATGAGACGCAATGACTTGATCAGCCCTTGTCCTGACTGTCGAGGAAAAGCTGACAATTTTATTCTTTTTAGTATTTTCTTTTTCTACTTGATACCATTGTTTGAACTCTTTACTTAATACAGAATTATTCTTAGCTGTTTAAATCCAATGGAAAATTGAGCCCTGTTAAAAATAAGTGTGAGAATAGGCCGGCGCCGCGGCTCACTAGGCTAATCCTCCGCCTTGTGGCACCGGCACACTGGGTTCTAGTCCCGGTCGGGGCGCCGGATTCTGTCCCGGTTGCCCCTCTTCCAGGCCAGCTCTCTGCTGTGGCCAGGGAGTGCAGTGTAGGATGGCCCAAGTGCTTGGGCCCTGCACCCCATGTGAGACAAGGAGAAGCACCTGGCTCCTGCCATCGGATCAGCGTGGTGCGCTGGCCGCAGCACGCCAGCTGCGGCGGCCATTGGAGGGTGAACCAACGGCAAAGGAAGACCTTTCTCTCTCTCTCTCTCTCTCTCTCTCTCACTGTCCACTCTGCCTGTCAAAAAAAATTTTTTTTTAATTTAAAAAAATAAGTGTGAGAATAAGAGAGGGAGGAAATGTACAGTTCAGCACACATTCCCTCAAACTTACCCCTAAGGGTAAAGCTAAAAATTTGCCTTAAGACTCCAAATCCCATTAAATTGGTAGGTTCCTTGAAAGCCACCTTGATCAGTGCTGGGCTCAGTTCCAGATGAGGACTCCAGCAGACACTGGGGAGTCGATGCACTGCTGTCTGAAGGAACCCGGGGGTCCCCGAGTTATCAATGTTGCCTGAGTGTGTGAAGGACAGAGCGGCAGGCCGGGGAGGTGCCTGGTGCCCCGGACAGCAGCTTCCCCCATGCCTGGCTGGGTCCTGCCCTTCCTCCTCCTGTCCAGGAAATGCTCAGCTGTGACTGACCGAGTTCACCTGCTGCTACTCCCTTTCGGCTGCTGCGGGAGCCTCTGGGATGGGCAGGGCTCCCTGGTGCTCCAGGTTCAAGCCCCCAGAAGTGGCCTGGGGCTCCCTTCTAGCTCTGGGGCTCCACAGTCCTGCAGGCTGCAAAGGAGGAGCCAGCAGCCCCCAGGTCTGCCCCTCACTCATGGCTCCTCCTGATCGTACCTGCAGAGGCCCCAAAAGCCACTCAGGAACCGTGAGGGTTTGAGAAGATGCAGGAGCCAGAGGCTTCCCCTTGGAGAAACTCCTCACGACCAAGCAAACCCGAGGGAGAGGAAGCACCTGCCCAGGTCTCCCCCAGGCCCAGGGGCACAGGCAGCAGAGGAGAAGGTGCTGCATCTCGTGGCATTGCCCGTTCTGGGGTCATGGACAACACTGGACCACGGAGGGAGCTGGGGTACCACCTGACTACCTGGGATCCTCCAAATTTCATCTGACAGAAACTTGCTCTCAGGAAGAGGTCGGCTAAGTGACTCACTTCAGATGACCAGAGAAAAATCTGATTCCCCTATCCCTGGAAGTTGAAGAGGCCTGGGGTGTATTCCCCCACTCTCCATCACACCTGGACAGAAAGAACCTCATGGGCAGCAGCTGTGGGCCCTGCTCCTGGCTCTACCCCAACGCAAGGGCCTGGCTTCAGATTTCCTGGGTGGTGAGGGCATCCTTCCCTGGGGAAGGCTCCTGTGGTTGGGATGTTCCTGGGAGGTAGTGGCCTTCTCCCAGAGCCCCGTCACTCTCCAGCAGGTGCCAGGTCCTCTGTCTCTTCCTCACCTCACACTCAGCAGGACTTGTTTTCTGCTTTTAGGATCAAAAATCTGGGCTGGGCATATTAGGTTAAGATGCTGCCCAAAACAGTCTTCAGAAACTCCTGGCAATGGTAGTTCCCATTGGACAGGGCCCCTAAGGTGCCCCCAGAGAACTCTTTTCTCAGAGCAGCAGCGGCTAAGTGGCCATTAGCAAGCAGTGCCCTTGGAAACAACACCCATCAGGTGACCGGTGGCCACATCCGGGTGCAGCCTGCACTCAGAGGGAGGTTATGGTTAGGCCACAGCCCCTATCCCCCTGCAGCTGGCCCTGGGCAGGCAGGCCCTGAGCACCTGCTGATCCCCTGTCCCCGCCCAGGGCTTCCCAGTATGAATTCCCTGAACCCCTTCCCAGCTCACAGCCAGGCTCTGGGGACAGTCTGGCCAGGTCAGCCCCTCCCTCCCAGTTTAGGAAGGTGACAGTGACAATCCTCCACAGCCTGTGTCGCATGGTGTCCTCTGAGGAGGCTCTCAGGCAGATAGGATCAAATTGATTAGATTTGTAAACTGCAGCCCAGGCGTTCCCTATGGGTCCTGAGTGATCGCATGCCCCTGAGGACACCTGTGCACCCACCTGCCAATCGGATTATGTAACCACGCCCCATTGGAAGTAATGAAAGGCCTGGAGCTCAGTGGGCCCCTCCCTTGTCACCCCTGCCTGCAGGTACTTGGCCGTCCGGCTGCCTCTCAGCTTTGCTTTCCTGCCTGCATGCCGGCTCCACAGGGCTGCTGAGCTGCTCCGGGCCTGCTCTGGACCCCGCTGATGCTGCCGGACTTCGTTCTCCCCTAATGAAAGCCCTCACTCTCCTGTGCATTTCTTTCACTGAAGAAAACGTTTACAACTTACCATGTCGCCTGGTAAATATTGAGCCAATACTCAGAATTCTTATTAGAATAGATGGCAAAAAAACCCCAGGATTCCATATATTAAAAATTATTAATAAAGGTAGATGACATCAAGGCCAGGTCTGGCACGCCCCTGATGGCCCTGGGATCCAGCTCAGCAGACAGCAGGGACCCAGTAGCTCGGCAGGCGGTCACCTGTCATCTGGAGTCACACTGGAGGGTCCCACACCCACAGATACACGACACCCACGAGAGACACTGACCTCTGCCCTACCCTCCAAGTCAGGCTGAGAAAGTCCCCAGGACTTAGCATTTTACATGGAACAACTCTCCTGGTGCCTTGGGAGGAGCCACACCTCAGGGGCGGGTACAGTGGCCCTAATACACAGGTAGCAGGGTCCTGGTCCCAGTGGGGCTAGAGGGGAGCAAGCAGTGCACACTGGGAATTTGGGGATATTTTGTGTGAGGAGGGGGCTCAGCTTAGGAGCCACAGGAAGTGACCTCACTATGCTGGTGATGACCTAGAGAAGTGGGTGCCCCGGCAACCACCCCCACATTCCGAGTTGAGTCTGAGCCAGCTCACCTGGATAGAGACTCATAGAGAGATGTTCCTCTGTTGTATCCCGCGATGCCGAAGCCCAGGCCCCGAGAAACCCTGCTGTGGGCGCCTCGCCCAGTGGTGGGGACGCTGGGCCAGCCCTCACCCCCGACGCTCCAGGCGCTTCAAACAGAAAAAGGCCAGGGTGAGTCTGAAAGCAAGGGCTGGTCTCTGTGGACCAAGACACCACTGGGAACCCACCGGAAGCCCATAGGCCCCTGGGTATGGGGGGACATGGGGCCACTACACGCTGGGCAGAGGGAAGTTGGGGTTCAGAGGCAGAGGAGCCTGAGGCCCAGAGCTGCTGGCTGCAGAGGGATCCAGGGACTGCCTCTTACCTGCCATTCTCTGCTCTTGTCTCCCAGGTCCAGGACAGGTCAGCCTCGCCTCTGGCGCAGCACAGCGGGCTGGGGATCGCCAGCAGCCCGGACAACTGTCAGCCAACTAAAACTGATGACCTGTGTGTGGTGGGGGAGTGGTCAAACTCGCCCACAGCTCCGAAGCTCCTGTATCGGGCATTCCCCTGGGCACACAAACCACCTGAGGTTCCCCTCAGGCACACACTGTTGGTCAAAGCCCAGATAGAGCCCAGGGGGTCCGCAAATGCCCATTTCACAGCCAGGGCAGTGGGGCCCAAGGACTTCGCCTGTGTCAGTCGTGACGCAAGGTCAGGGCCAGGCCTGGCACCTGACCTCACGGCTGGGGTGGAGCAGAGCCCCTATATTCAAACAACACCCCCTCTGGAGCAGTGCTGGCCCTCCAACGGTCAGCGCCGCCACAAGGATGCGCGGGGGACAGCTGTGTCCCCAGGGGCCGAGCAGGGCTCAGGGGAGGCCCTGAGAGAAGAGGCTCTGGGGATGGAGGGTCTGGAGCCAGGACTGTACGCAGCAGCTGAAGCCGAGGACGCTGCAGGGGCACCAGACGCAGCACTGGCCCCGGCCTCAGCCCCAGCTCCGCAAGTCCCTTCTGCTGCAGCCCCAGTGCCACACCTGGCCTTCCCCGCCCCCGTCGTCCTGTATTTCTTTTTATTCCTCCCCATTGTGTTCCTTTTCTACACCTTATTGTCCCTGTACCTCAATAAATTTTAATTCCTTACCCAGTGTGTTATGTACCGTGCGAGCTCCCCAGGCCGTGCCCTCCCCACCCCACTCTCCCTGCACCATTGGCTCCAATGCCCGGGACCTGCATCCTCTGCAGAGGACACGGGCACCTCCCCAGGAGCAGAGCCAACGTTCCCCGTTTGGACAAAGAGCACCACACGCTGGGAAGGCCAAGGGAAGCAAGGAACAGGGAGACGCTGGCATGGCTGGGGCAGCGTCTCCTCATGGTCGGGTGACACAAGCGGATATTCTCACTGCAGCCTCAGTGCCCTCATCTGTGAAATGGGATGGCAGCCCTGCCACAGCCATCACCAGGACAGGGAATGCGATGCACTGCACCTCCCTGCACACACTGGGGACCCCCAGCTTCTGGGATGAGGGGTGTACAGAAAGGAGGAACAGGGTTCTTCCACTGAGGGCACAGCCTCATGTCCACACACAGAAGGTGTCACAGTCTCTGTCCCTGTGCTCAACAATGGGTCACTGGCAGAAGAAGCAGAGCAGGGATTTGCTCACAGCACAGGAGGCAGAGGGGGCCTTGTCCAGGACCCCATGTGACCCAGACTGCCTGGTGTGCAGGTGAGATGGGTGGGTCTTAGCTGGGAATATGGAGACACAGAGGATGTCCCCAACAACTTGCCATGGGACTCCAAATCCCATTAAGTTTGCAGGTACCAATTCCATCTTACTAGTTAAAGTGATCACTGTAAGTTCATACCTGATCATAAAGATAGGGATAAGTGTCAAAGGGATCATATAAACAAGTCCAGTGTCCACTAATAATAATAGATGGAATTAAAAAGGAGAAAACAATCCAGCATGGGAAGCAGGACACACAGCAGATTCATAGAACTGTAGATGTCCTAAACAGCACTCTGGCCTCAGAATCAGCCCTTAAGGCATTTGGATCTGGCTAAAAAGCCCATGAGAGCATTTCAGGCATGGAAAGCCAAGACACTGTGGCAAAAATGACCTACATGAAAGATCTCTGTGAGTGAGATCCCAGTGGAAAGAACAGGTCATCAAAGAAGGAGGTACCTTTATCTGAAGGAAGGAGAGAACTTCCACTTTGCTTATGGTCTTGTCTAAATAATGTTGGAGTTTGTGGACTCAAGAAGATTCCATAGCCTTGGCAGCTCATGACAAGAGCCTCAGGTGATCACTGACGTCATAAATAAGAGTGTCAATTGTTAAAGTCAACAACAGGAGTCACTGTGCACTTCCTCCCCATGTAGGATCTCTGTCCTTAATGAGTTGTACTATGAGAATTAATGGTAAAACTAGTCTTCAAACAGTACTTTACACTTCGTGTGTCTGTGTGGGTGCAAACTTTTGAAATCTTTACTTAATATAGAGTTGATTTGTATATAAAGATAGTTAAAATTAATCTTAATGAAGAATGGGATGGGAGAGGGAGTAGGAGGTGGGACGGTTTGGGGATGGGAGGGCGGGTATGGGGGTAAGAACTGCTGTAACCCAAAAGTTGTACCTATGAAATTTATATTTATTAAATAAAAGCTTTCTATAAGAAAAAAAAGAGAAAATCACTACATTTTGAAATCAAAGCAGAGACATCCTGGGAATTGAGAGAAGACCCATGAGCTGGAGCAGCTCCCCAGGTCTGGAGAAAAAAAAACAAAACAACTGTGTCCTGTACAGATGACATGATTAGCAAAATAGAAAATCTCAAGGAATATAAAAAGCTCCTTTGGCCTGGTGTTGTGGCACAGTGTGTAAAGCTACTGACTGAGATGCTGGCATCCCATATGGGCGCTGGTTCAACACCCATTGCTCCACTTCCAATCCAGCTCCCTGCTAATGTGCCAAGGAAAGGAGAGGAAGACGGACCAAGTACTTGGCCCCTGCACCTACAGGAGAGACCTGGAAGAAGCTCCAGGATCCTGGCTTCGGTCTGCCCCAGCCCTAGGCATTGGTTTCATTGCAGCCATTTGGGGAGGGACCCAGTGGATGGAAGACCTCTTTGTCTCTCTCTCTCTCTCTCTCTCTCTCTCTCTCCCTCTCTCTCTCTCTGCTTCTCTCCCTCTCTTTCTGAAACTCTGCCTTTCAAAACATAAAATAAACCTTAAAAAAGAAGCTCTTAGAACTTAAACATAAACTCAGCAAGGTTGCAAAATATTTAAGGTAGACAATATCAGCTACATTTCTACATACTAACAATAAACAACAGTAACCAATTTAAAATATAATTTCACTTATAAACATGAATATTAAATAAATGGTTCAGGGTAATTCTATCAAAACATATATAACTTCTGGGTTGAAAATGACAAATGCTAATGAAAAAATTAAGATACAACCAATTCAAATATATTCAATGTTATCTTCATAAAGTTGTAAAAGCATTTCAATAGAAGAGGCACAGATTTAAAAAAAAAAAAAAAAACATGATGCTGAAACAACTGAACATTCCTTGGTTAAGCAATTGGATGGGCAAAAATAAACCTTGACCTAAACTTTATACCTTACACTATAAAAGTGAATTCAATACGTATAACAGACTTAAACATAAAATTATAAAACCTTTTGAAAAAACATAGATCTGTGAGATCTAGGGAACAACCTAGGTGTTCTTCAATGGGTGAATGGTTAAAAAAAACTGTGGAATATTACTCAACAATGTCAAAGAATAAGTTATTAATACAAACAACAACTAGTATAAGCATTCAGAAAGTTATGTGGAGTGAAAAAATGCTATCAAGTTGTATTTTATAGGATTCTGTTTATATAATATTCTTGAAATGACAAAATTATGGAAATAGAGAAAAGGTGATTGAGATGAATGGTGACTTCAAATGGTTACAAAAAGCAACATTTGCACAGATCCTGCAAAACATTATTTCAAGAGGGAGAATTTACCAGTGAGTTATTGTGGGATACTAGACAAGAGGTCGAGAGAGTTTGAGACTGGGAGCAGAAATGGGAGCACATTCCTCGTATGTTCAAGTGATATTTCAGAGGGAGAGTGACAGGACTTGAAGATAAAAGTATATAGAAACTTGCTTTCCCTTTTAAAAACCAAAATTTCTATTTGACATTTTTTGGCTTTTTTTCTGTATGTATTCACCTTATCCCAATCAACAAAGATGAAAGAATTATTTGCTCACAAATCAAAATTTCAGGGCTAGTGCTATGACATAGAAGGCAGAGCTGTCGTCTGCAGTGCTGGCATCCCATATGGGCACTGGTTTGAATTTAGGCTACTCCACTTCTGATCCAGCTCTCTGCTATGGCCTGGGAAAGCAGTAGAAGATGGCCCAAGTCCTTGGGCCCCTGCACCTGCATGGGAGCTCCAGAAGAAGCTCCTGGCTTTGGATCAGCTCAGCTTTGGCTGTTGAAGCCATCTGGGCAGAGAACTAGTGGATGGAAGGCCTCTCTCTCTCTCTCTCCTCTCTCTCTCTCTGCTTCTGCCTCTCTGTAGCTCTGCCTTTCAAATAAATAAATAAATAACAGTGATTGTCACAATTTTTAAAATCTCATTTTTATTTTAAATCCTCATGAAAATATTCAGAACAGCCCTATTACAAAGCACTGACTTAGCCACGTGACAATTGTTGGATGGATCAAGAAATTTATCTTCATAAAAAATGTACTGAAACCATGACACAAACTCGAATTTCCTATAAATCTGAAGAGAAAACAAAGTCATTTTGTTCTTTGTTTTGATGGGATGCTTGACCGTGAAAATATATATATATTTTTTGACAGGCAGAGTGGACAGTGAGAGAGAGAGAGACAGAGAGAAAGGTCTTCCTTTGCTGTTGGTTCACCCTCCAATGGCCGCCACGGCCCGCTTGCTGTGGTTGGCACATTGCGCTGATCCGATGGCAGGAGCCAGGAGCCAGGTGCTTCTCCTGGTCTGCCATGGGGTGCAGGGCCCAAGCACTTGAGCCATCCTCCACTGCATTCCCTGGCCACAGCAGAGAGCTGGCCTGGAAGAGGGGCAACTGGGACAAAATCCGGCACCCCGACCGGGACTAGAACCTGGTGTGCTGGTGCCGCAGGCGGAGGATTAGCCTATTGAGCCGCGGCGCCAGCTGACTGTAAAAATATTTTATGTATCCTATTTTTTTTTTTACCAATAAATAATACCCTTGGTCAAGGAAGGATTTTCTTTCTTTCTTGTTTTTTTTTTTTTTTTTTTTTTGTGTGTGTGTGTGTGTATGTTAAAATATTCTCTGTATGATGTCTAAGAAATGATCAGTGTTGTTCTAATAAAATCTGAGATTAATATGCAGGCTTGAAACAGATACACTTAGCGTTGTTCTATGATTGTGATGTGAACTATAAATTTTGAAGTGGGTGGGCATTTGACGTGGCAGTGAAGCCATCCATTGGACTACCTGCATCCCACATTGAAGCACCTGCCTTCAGGTCCTGGCTGGGCTCCCGTTTCCAGCTTCCTGCTAATGCGCACCCTGGGACACAGTGCTGATAGTTCCTCCTCAGGCTCCTGCCACCCACATGGGGATCCGGCTTGAGTTCCAGGCTCCTGGCTTCTGCCTGGCCCAGCCATGATAGTTGTGGGCATTTAGGGTGTCCATTTGTCTGTATCTATACCTCTCAAATAAAATAACTATTTTGGAAAGGGCAAACTATTCATTACAAATGAGCAGCAGCAGCAGCAGCAAACTATTCTGTAATTTGCTCTCCAGAGTGCCTGCAGCCTTGCCAGGAACCACCAAGCATCATCACCAGTGGGGAGAACCAATTACAGATTTTCTCTTTTAAATGGTATCCTAAAAATATGTGAAAAGTGAATTACTCGCCAAGGTTCAGATCTTTCAAAAAAACCTCTCATGAGACATTACACTGTACTGAGCTTGTAGTGACTGACTTACCAAACCAATACTTTGAAAGAGACAATTGCTGTCCCCTAGGTGTGTTCACATATAGTGGACATGGGTGGAGTTTTGAATGGGAATGCCTCGGATTAGAGTGTACTCTTGCGCTGGTTGTCTAAAAATTAACCAAGAACACATTCTCCATATGAATCATTACAAGACGTGGAGGAATCTTCTTTTGGAAATGCCTCTTATTGTTGGGAATAAACAGCCTTTTGGGTTCAGACAGCATGGAGGCCAGTATTGACAAACCATTCTAAAAATACATCTAACATTGATCTCTGACCTTAACCCATTTCTGTTCTCTCTTCCCCTCAAGGCAAGAGAGTTCCACACAAGCCTCAAAACAGTAGACTTTAACTCCAAGGAATGAATGCATGGATCTGTGGTGGAAACATGGGGTGATTTGGAAACAGGATACATTTGAGCTCTGGAAAAAAAAAAAAAAACCAAAGAACTGAATAGCCTCTTTTTATACAGCAGCAGTATGCATCAGGATCACAACACCACCGCTGCTAGAAGTCAGTCAATCACATGGAATTAGACGTGACGACTGAGCTTCGTGCCTGCACGAGGAAATTCGGAATCTGTGCTTCCTTCTAAAGGAATCCTTCAACCGACCCAATGGGATAAAAACCTTTTTGAGAAAGGTCAGCTTAGTATCATAGAGAAAGGATGGTAAATAATCTTTGAGTATGTCTGAATATGTCATTCTCCAAATCAGGCTATCACTTGCTTAATATAATTTGGGAAATAATATTTCATTATTGTGTCAAGAAGGGTACATTTACTAAAAATAACCATCATGTGTTGGCACTGGGTTTCTATTAGAAGGTGCTAACTTTCTGATGTCAACAGAAACTTTCAAAGTCATACTCAAAATATTTGGACACCCACATGAATGTTAACAAAACGAAAACAGGAAACCCTTAAATCATAGATGATGATGATAATGAAGATGACGATGGTGATTCAATTCTGAGCTTCATAATTTATCAGGAAATTCAAGAGTTTGAAGCAAGTTGAGAGGTTACCTGTAACGATTCAAAGATTGAAAAACGAGCTTTGAGAGTAAGAACAAAGGAAACATTTAGACAAAAGGAGACACCAAGATTAAGGACTTAATAAACTTCTAATTATGCGAGATAGTTGGGCAGCTGCTTTCTCTTGCTTTCTATCCAACTCTTCTATGACTCCACCATAGCTTTCTTACTGTCTACCTTTTCACAAAAGAAGGCAATTGCATTATTTTTAAATGGTAGGACCTTTCAAATACAAAAGTATCTGGCAAGGGGGCAGCGTTGTGGCATAGTGGGTAAAACAAAGTCTGCAAAGCCAGCATCCCATTCAGGTGCTAGTTTGAGTCCTGGTTGCTCCACTTCTGGTCCAGCTCCCTGCTACTGCATTGGGAAAGTAGAAGATGACCCAAGTACCTGGAACCCTGCACTTACGTGTGAAACTTGAAAGCTCCTGATTCCTCACTTTAGCCTGGCCCAGCCCCGGCCATTGGGTCATTTGGGGAGTGAATCATTGAAGGAAGATTTTCTTTCTTTCTTTCTTTCTTTCTTTCTTTCTTTCTTTCTTTCTTTCTTTCTCTCTCTCTCTCTCTCTTTCCTTCCTTCCTTCCTTCCTTCCTTCCTTCCTTCTTTCCTTCCTTCCTTCCTTCTTTCTTTCTCTCTCTTTCTTTCTTTCTCTCTCTCTCTTTCCTTCCTTCCTTCCTTCCTTCCTTCCTTCCTTCCTTCCTTCCTTCTTTCCTTCCTTCCTTCCTTCTTTCTTTCTCTTTCTCTTCCTTCCTTCCTTTCTTTCTTTCTTTCTTTCTTTCTTTCTTTCTTTCTCTCTCTCTCTCTTTCCTTCCTTCCTTCCTTCCTTCCTTCCTTCCTTCCTTCCTTCCTTCCTTCTTTCCTTCCTTCCTTCCTTCTTTCTTTCTCTTTCTCTTTCTTTCTTTCTTTCTTTCTTTCTTTCTTTCTTTCTTTCTTTCTTTCTTTCTTTCTTTCCTCTCTCTCTCTCTCAAATAAATAAATCTTTTAAAAACATCTGCTAAGTGCTATGAAATATACAAATGTCCTTGGGAGTCTCCTGATAATTTTATTCACTAGTTTTTACCTCTAAGTAGCTGTCTCCATAGAGCACTGGATTTTCATCCTTTACTCTAGAGTCCTGATAGAGACAGATACCAAGAAACTGTCCTCATTCATGGAATATTGGAAATGTCTTTGCTTTCTTACTTTATTAATATACTTCAATAGATGTAAATCATTATTGTACCTTCAATATCTCTTCAAATTAAAATTCATTAAAGCATGCAAGCATTTTCTGTTTCTGTTGCTGGACACAGCTCTAATATTTATTCCCAATGGCATGTACTTTAAAGAAAGAAAGAAAAGAAATTCGGTAATGCTCTCTGTGGCTTATCCTTTTGAATTTTATCTTCTGATTTGTGAAGGTTTCTGATACTATATCTCATCAGAACTATTCTTATAGAGGAAAACTTAAGTATTAAATCATGTTACACATTTATTTAGATAATACAAACATAAATGTCTTCTGTCTAAATTCTGGCATCAAATATCACCTTTTACTAATTATCTAGCACAGTTACTATCTAACTGACAACAAGCTTCTAAAATTTAAAAGTTTTTAAAATTTTATTTATTATTTATTTATTTTAAAGGCAGAGGGAGACAGATACAGAAAGAGAGTAACATACAGAGATTTACCATCTGCTGTTTCATTCTCCAAATGCCTGCATTAGCCAGGGTTGTTCCAGACAGAAGGCAGGCGCTAGGAGCCAGGATCTCAATCCCGGTGTCCTAGGTGAATGGCAGGGACCCGAGTCCTTGGGCCATCTTTGCTATCTGGGGTGTGCATTAGCAGGAAGCTGGAATTGGAAATTGATCGGCACTCTAATAGGGGATGTAGGCATTCCAAGGGGCATCTTAACCACACCTATGCCAAGTTTCTGAAATCTCACAGCATGTCTGAATATTAAATTCGTCACCATCCTCTTTCCTCTCACAAAGTGAAGTTCGGTGTCTCTTGTACTGGAAAACTTGTTCTGCCCAGAATTCCAGAGAATGAGATGTGAGTCAAACCTTAGCTACAAGTCTAAAGACCACATTGTGTAAAACACACACACACACACACACCCCACACATTCCAGATTTCTTGCCAAATTTCACTGCTATTAGATTCCCACAATAGTCTCGAAAATATCAGACAAACGGGCGTCAGTATGATTAATTCTGATGATTACTTATTTTTTTTTCCTGTGCCCAGTGACCTCTGGAAGCCCTGAGTTTGGTTAACTATACAAAGAGTCTCTTCAGTTAACTGAAATGTTTGTAAATAAATGATATCTTTTCTCCATTAACATGTCTTCATCTTGACCTATAAGAGTGGATTGTGTGGGCAATCTCAGATGACTAATTTGTCTTTCTTTAACCTACAGCAAGAGAGCAGAGAGTCAGAGAAACCCAGAAATATTTAAAACATACACATGTTCAGCCACCACCACAAAAAGCCAATTTATGCTGAATTTAAGCCAGGCTTTCCTATGAACTTCTAGTTTTTGTCATGAAATCTGAAGTCCAGTGAATTCTGATAATGAGTAACACTTGAATTTTTATTATGAATTAAAAGAGAATTTACTGTTTTTCCTGTATTTTTCCCTGTGTTTTTGTTAGGCAGGAAGTTAGAAATTAGCCTATGAGTGTAAGAAGGGCCTAAGGAGACTGACATCCACAGCAGTCCAGCACCTACATCCAGCACCTGCATTTCAAAGTCCTGCCCAGACCCTGAGAACCTTCCAGGGGGCCCTGCCCCTTCTACCTGGCCTGATGAACACCCTTCCTCTAAGGTGAGCACCCTAGAGAGAAGCCCCTCGGCTGAAGCCAGCAAGGCATCCATCCCCTGTCTGACAGCCTCAGTAGTAAACTTTGACAGTAATTTTTCATATTTTCACCCAACAAACCCTTCCACCAGGGCTCCCCATCCTTTGTCCTGGGGGATAGGGGAGGGAGGTAAAGAGACTCCCTTAAAGGCTCGGAGTCCAAAGAAAGGCTGTGCGCTCAGCTCTCTGCCTCTCTGCTGAGCCACCTGCCTGGCCTGCCCAGGTGTATTCTCTCCATTCAACCATGGAACCTCGCTCTCTCCCAGTCCGAGTGACTGGGCGCTCTCTCTCTGTCCCCTCCATTTTGATGGATGCTCTATCCTCAAAAAAGCCTTATCACTTCGCTCTCTGTCACAGGCCTGAATTCTTTCTTGCATGAAGACAAGAGCCCCACGGTTTCCACGGCTCTTTTCTCCGGTGACAAAAATATATTTTATTGTTTCTAAATTGTACATTTCATTATTTTATTTATTTTCATCATTAGTGTTATTGTGAGGACCTCAGAATCCATGATTTGTAACATATCTAGGAGCCCTAATCTGTGAGGCAGTTTACATAAAGACTAACAAAGAATTTTGAAATACCTTGATGAGCTTTATACAAAAACCTCTTAGATTTGACCTCCTCACGAGAGAAGCCCCCTCTCTGAGGAAGATCTCACAGCAAGTGGACCCATGTTGTCAAGTGTAAAATTTCCCTGAACTGGGCCAAGCAGGAGAGAACAGAAACGTGAAGTAGAGGCCCTAACAATCCTGCATGTGTGACAAAGAAACCTACGTGGTGGAGGAGGAAAAAGGGCAAGACAACATGGATTTTCAATTTCCTCATTAAATCTAGATCGAACATTTACATACGTGTGTGTATTTGTATATGTGTGTATATTTAATTTAAAACAATTTTATAGATTTGTTGATCCATGACATCCTTTTTCTCTCATTTTGAAATCAAATTTATGATCTTGACCTCTAGCATTCTAGCAAATGATCTTGCATTTTCACTATGCTCTTTTCCCTACTCAAATGGCTTCTGACTACTCAAATACCTTATTCTGCAAGTGATAAGTTCCAGGAAAAGAAAAACTCTCAAGATAGCATCCTCCTGGAACACACTCAGCTGATAGAAACAATACGTTTATTTTAGTGCCTTGTTTATGCTATCAAATTTCAGCCTCCCCACCAAAAGCCCCTGATGACTGCTGAGGTGTGCATGTGAGCACTCAAAGAGGCTTCCTAGGGGTGGGTGTTTGGCACTGCAGTTAAGATACCACTGGAGATGCCTGTATTCCATATTTGAGTGCCTTGTTCGAATCCCAGCTGCTCCACTTCTGATCTAGCTTCCTGCTAATGCACACTCTGGGAGTCAGTGGTGATGGCTCAAGTACTTGAGCCCCTTCCACCATTGCAGGGAGGGACCCAGATGGACTTCCAAGCTCTAGCTTTGCCGTGGTTCTGCCCTGACTGCTGCAGACCTTTTAGGGAATGAAACTCCCCCCTCCCCGGGTTACTGGAGGTGAGGGCATCACTGGGTCAATTTGTTATCTCTTCCCTGGATTTTTCTGTTGTTCCAAC